AACTCACTAAAGTTGAGGGACCAAATTTAGCATTTAACCTTCTTGTTAAACAACTTCCTCTCTGCAGTTGCTCTAAGAAAATTGTTTTACAGAGCCGGTAAAACTACTTAAATGCCCTTCATTTTGTTTTTATGTTACTTTTTTAAAAACATAATAATTTCACAACCTATCTTATATAACAGTTTTAAAATATCAAATTATTTTTAAAATGACTTATTGTCGATTTTTTTTTTCATTTGGGCGGTTAATTCGAGAATTTAGGTGTGTTGTTAAAAAAAAAATTGATTTTCCTTTGGAGAAAAATAAAGTGTTATTAAGATTGTACTTTTTTTAATAAAAAAAACACTTTTTTTTTTGTTGTTATTATTCTCTTTTTTCTACAATTAATGTCATTGGACATGATGGAGATAAAAAAGTCTTTTTGTAAATCAAAAATTAACTACTGAGATTTGAATTACTAATTTTAATTTAAAATTAAAATTTTTTAATTGGTAACTATCAATTCACTGAAAATTTTGTTAGTATGATGAGATAAAACTATAGAAGGAGTAGTGATTGAGGTCTCCATTGTTATGTTTTTAAGTAGACAATTCTCTAAAAAAAATTATTTTTGCCTTTTTCACAAAACGTAATCGTTTATTATTTTTTCCTTTTCTTTTTAATGAAGCATGAATTTAATCTTCTTTTTCTTGTTCAAGAAAAAAAAAAAAGGAAGCATGAATTTAATCAAGAAATAAACATTTCAGGTCATTCATTCATACACACAAGATTTCACCCCTTTCTTTCCCATATTCAAGTTAAAGAAAATTTTGATATTTACTCAAATTAAAACTCTATTTTGGTTTCTCTATTTTAACAAAAAAAAAAAATCATTTTTAGCATTAATGAGTTATTGGTCTGAATAAAAAAAGTTTGATTTTCTTTAAATAAAATTTTGAATTTAAGTTTTATAAATGAAAAAATAAATGCCAAAAGAATTTTATCCAAAACGACCAATGTAACTTTCAAATACTGGAGATTTAATACAAGCACAAACAAAGAAGATCATTTTTAGTTTCTCTATTTAACAAAATTCTTTTTCTAATCACTAATCAAACGATGCTCAGTCATATATATATATATATATATATCTTATCCTTAAAGAAGAACAAATACAAAGATATAAAAATAGAGAAGTTTAGAAATTTTTTTATTGTTCTCCTGATGCAAGGGCCGGACTGTAGAGCTGACGACTAAGGATCGCATACAAATTGGCCATATGGTGCGGAGTCGAAATAGGAAGCTCCTGCTCCTCCATACCCTTCTCTTCCCATCTCTTGTCCCTGTACATAACCCAACATATATCCACATTAGTCAACTTAATTGACTGATTATTTTTTTTAAAAAATGTGTTTATGCAGTTTGCTGTGTACCATCAGCACATAATTAGGAAGGTCTCTTGTAGTCAATGACAGACCTTACAAACCATAATTAATTAAAATTAAGCTGTTTGTATTCTACGTACATGATACACCGCAAAACACTAACTTTTTATTTTCTCAAATAAATGTGTAAAAGGAAAACACTAAGACCTGCGTTGTTTGTGCAGCATCCATTGCAGACATGAGGTCGTGGACCTCGTGGTACGGGCTAGCTACCGAGAGCTTCATGGAAAGAAACTAAGAAAAAAGAAACTTAAATGTTATACATGCAGCTCTGCATTTTAATTTAGGGTTATAATTGAACTTTCTTGATTAAGTACTCACTTCAATTTGATTTTGCAGAGATTGAACATAATTGATTATGACATCCAGCATCACTGCCATTCCCATTGTCTATACATATATTCAGCAACAAAAATTAATTAGAACGCATATTGAGAGAAAACAAAACAGCAGAGAAAATATAAAGAAAGTGATGCTTTTCTTGATTCTTCTTAATATACAAAATGTTTATTTATAGAATTGGACAATAAGATATTTTGTAATACAAAATTAATTAATCTAATTATAATGATAAATTATAATGTGATCAATATAATTATAGTAATGTGAACATAATTAATATAATCATACTGTGAATATTTTGTAATATCCCTTCAAATTCAAAGCGGTGATGAAGACAAAAACAGGAGATAAAAGAGCTCAATAACTCTGATACCAGGAGAGAAAACATAAAAAAAGTGATGCTTTTTCTTGATGCTTTTGAGTATACAAAGTGTTTTTTTATAGGTATATACAAAAAAATATTTTGTAGTGCAAAATCAATTAATCTAATTATATCAATCAATTACAACGTAAATATAATCATAATAATGTGAACACATTCAACATAATCAATGTGAACATTCTGTAACACATAATTCAGAGAAATGAAAAGAAGGTTTTGAATATTTACTTTATAGCATCCTGGGACCAGGTCCTGCAAGCACCTCAGCTTCTTATTTATCCTCTCTCTTCTTACCTATAATCAGAAGAAGAAATTAGTGTGGAGAAAAAAAGTGAAGTATTAAAAGGAAGCAATATGAATGTATACATACCCTTTCAGCCAAACTGTGACTATCAGTGGCTTGACCTCTTTTTGCTCTCACATGAACAACTTCTTTTGATTTCTTTTGATCATTGTTGCTTCTCTTTCTCTTTCTCTTTCTTTCACCTTGGCCCTATCACATGCCACCATAGTTTTTGTTACAGAACAATCATGTAATAAATTTGAGAATGAAGCAACCTTGTCCTAAGGAAATAAAACAGTACTTGGCATTAGATTAACCTCAGTATCTGGGCTCAACCCTGTTCCAGAAACTGGAGATGGGGACAAATTCATCACTAGGCCTTCAAGTATAGGAATCGCCTTGTCGTTCTTTCTTTCACATTGAAATTCACCTGGTAGTGACAAAGAATGATAAACCAGTATTGATGAGAACTTGAAAAGTCATGTTAGGAATATTACCAGCGAAGTTCATTGGATCCTGAAGAGCTTGCTGATTATCAAACATGATGCTATTTGAAAGAGCTGAGAATCCTGGATCAGTCGAGTCAAGACCCTCCATTGCGCCCTGGTTTTCTATCACCTCCATGTTTGAGTTTGTTTCTGAAATGGAAGGCTTGAGGCTTTGCAGTACTGCTTCAATAAACTCAGCCATTAGAGAAATCACCAATCACCACATTTTAAGAAATTGACTCTAGAAAGGCATTGATAATTGGAGATTGCACAGTGCAGTATATTGATAACACTGCAATATACGTCTTTTGACAGTATTCACTTGATACTCCTGGAAGGGAATAGAAGGCGGCCCAGGACGTACGTAAGCTCGTTATGGTCGGTCCATAATTCTAGTTAGATAGACTTGTCACCAATCCAATGTGAGGGGACCATCCTATGCAATTGTTAAATTGACAAAATTGGAGATGCTTTGATTGGCAATCAAAATGATTTGATTATTACCATACGATTCTTTTTGACAATTCTAATCTTTCTTTCCCATTTCCGTGCACAAGGGTTACGTAAAAAGGCAACTCAAATTACTTTCTCAAAGTCCTTTTCAAGGATCGAACCTTGTCACAATTCCATTTGCTGATCTTTAAAGTTTTGTACTGTTTATCTAAATTTTCCTCTAAATTATTAATCAAGTCGGCAACATGTTCTAAAATTTGGACATTCCTTTAGATAGTTTTTTAACCATGCTGACTCAAATCCTTTATTCCTTTATTGGATCTCCTAGTTTTCCACATTCAATGCTTCCACATAGGCATGTTGACAAATTTCACCTAAGTACTACATCCTTTTTACCTCTCTTCCTTTTCTTCACACAATCAAAGCCACAAACTACTATGAACCATGTGCACTCTAAGAATAGCATATTAAGTGGAAAATTTATGATGCAAATCTTCAACAGAATGGAGCTCTGATTCTTCTGCCTTCTGTTTCACACACTTGAAAATTGAAAAGTTACCTAACTTGGATATACTGAATTTTGCTTTGCTTCAAATTATCTCTAAATGGTTAAAGGGGTTGACAAAAGCTAGGGCGTGCCATCGACAAATTTAACATAATTTGAGTGATAATTGTGAGTGAGATTATCAACATCATTACAGAAAATTTTCATTAAACACACATTACAAATAGTTTTTCTTTAGGTTAACGACCTAAATAGATCAAAGGTTATCTTATTTCATTGGAAGTATTCAAGTCGCACGGTATGCGGGTGGAATGAGATAAGAGATGAGAAATTGTTATTTTTTATTGTACAACTAAGATGAAAAAAAAAAAAAAGAAGTTTTCCTTTAGACCCTATTTGGTTACCCCGCATCCTAGAAAAAGAATATGGGATAACCAACTAACTGAACAATTCAACTTAGTTTAGCAAAATAAATCTCTTGACCTAAAAATCGAGATGCAATATAATTGATTATAATTGATTGGGTAAGTGATTATATGCCCATATAATTGATTAAAAAAAGTAAATAATTGATTATAAAAAAAATAATTGCTTATATCCAAAAGGTAATCAATTAAAATCACTTTCCACCAAAAAAAAATTCTGAACAAAAAGTTTCCCAATAAAGTTTACATATAATCACTTACATAATTTATTATAATCAATTATATTGCATTTCAATTTCCATGCCAGAGAATTTATATTTTTACTAAGCCAAGCTGAGATATTCATTTAGTCAGCCACCCGATATTTTTTTTTCTAGAATCCTAGGTAACCAAATAGGGCCTTAGGGTAAATGATGTGTCAGAGGTTAAACTAATGCTTTCAAGTCTCGCCAAATTCTAAGAGGATAAGCTCTCTCACTTTAGAGAGTTCACATTCATACTGACATGAAGTCTAGTTTGTCCAAGCACAATTGTGGTAGAATATAACAAAACATTTCATTATGAGAATGACAACCATCAAGAAAAAAGGAGAAAGTCATCAATCTAGGAAAGGGACACCACATGATGGAAAGAGCCTCTGTTCCATTGATTATAAAACTTTCTTTTGTCAGGAACCAAATTGATTTGGTTAGTTAATTAATATTGTTCTCTAATCATAGTAATTCTGCCAAAACATATTACTTTGTTGCCAAGAATCCATGATTAACTGATCAGCTTAGTTTCCCCACTTTTCTTGTACATTAACAGTCGTCCATAGATTAGCAAGTGGGTAAGATATGCCCTGAAAATTCTTTAGTTTGCTGACTGCTTCAAGCCCATTAAGAAACAGGCTCACTAAACAGAAGTTTTCAGGCTTCTCCATAAACCCAACTTTATGATCTATTCTTTAGTATGGAGAAAGCAAAAGAGGAGAAAAGAGGATAAAGAAAGTCACATAAAACCAGTTCTATAGATATTTGATGGTATTGTTATTACAAACTTATTATTAAATTGTGATAAAAACTTTCCCCAGAAAGCATTTTTGAAAAAGAAATAAATTTGAGTTGAAAATAGAATAGTCTCTGCTTCTTTCTAAGCTTCTTTTCAGGAGCCAAAGTTGTTTCAACCTGTCACTGAGAAAATTAGGCCTTTGGGACCGAAAAGTTTTCCAGCCCATTTCTCAGTCCTCCAGACTGTTTCATGTAAAATTCCAGCCATTTCACTATTCAGTGTCAGAGAAGAGAGAAAAAGAAGAAGAAAGGAATATCAAAAATCACTGAAAGATTAAAGATAAGTCTGTTTCTCTGTTCCTCCATGATAAACAAGCCCTTGACTTTGGTGACACTCATGGGGAACCAACATAAAAGGCAACGGCAAAAGTAGAATTTCTCGCCCTAAATGATTGTTCGAGTTTCAAGTCAAACCATCAACTAACCAAGTTGCTGAGTGGTTCACAGCTTAGAATGATTTTCATCTTCCCTTTGTGATCTGAGTTTTCACATCAGTCCTGTCAGTACTAGGATAACCTCATAAAGTTGAAATTATTTATGCCCTCGATGTACACCTACCCTGGCATTTTATCCAACACATAATCTGTAATACGCATGTACTGTGAAGCAAACTCAACAGTTTTTTTATATCATTATTGTAACCATTACTTATCCTTCCAATTAAAGAGTTCATGGGACTTCTTCAGTCATTGTGGGTCGCCCACCACAGGCACACGCGTGCACAGGCCTAAATTTGAACACATTTTTTTTTAGCATTATTCATACCATCCAAGCTGTCATTATTTGTGAGAATATGGAATACCTCCCCCCACACCACCACCACCACCACATGAATAAGAATTGTGCTTTTTCTTTATCTACACCAAGTCACATGAGTATTTCCTGCTATTACATACAAAAATAGTTAAATGACAAAAGCATCTCACCACTTATTGGTAGTTCTCTACTCAAATATGGAAACCCTATCTTTATGCAAGAATTCTCAAGGACAGAAAACCCTTCTCTACTATCCATTATTGATTCTCATTACCCTGCCTTTCAACCTTTCTAATCTGCCATCTTTTTCTCAACTTCTCTTCAATCTAATCACACCATCTCTGTGGTCATGAATTCATTACCATCTCTCATTTTCAGAGTCTTTACAATGAACCTTGCGTAGGAAAAGAAGGTTGGAATGCAGTCAAATTTAGCTGCACTAACAAATTAAATGACTAAAATGAGTGGGGTTTGGAGAAACAAGGGTATATATTACATCTTGAATTTTCCAACATGTTCCAATGCCGCCTAGTAAACAAACCATTGAATTTTCCCAACATCATGTAACATATTTTGTCCAGTCCAGCATTTTTCTTGAAAAATTAATCTAAAACACCATTAAAAAAAAATGAATGGAAGAATATTCTCCTGTAAGAAGTTATATTCTAAACTTTCAACCAGTCCAGCATTTTTCTTGAAAAATTAATCTAGAACAATATAAAAAGAGAATGAATGGAGGAATATTTTCTTGTAACAAACTATATTGTAAACTTTCTAACACAGGACAGGATACGGGATATGGTGGGCTTGAAGATTTAGTAGCTGTTTAGTGTAGAAAAAGAAGAACAAAACCAAAAATTAATAGAAAAGATAAAACTTCTAAAAGTCGCATTTAGATTTCTTTAGATGTCATACCTAAAGATGATAAAAATTATCATACCTAAAGTTAGTTACATTATATAACTAAAATTGCATTACACAATCAAAAGCAAAACTTGTTTAAAAATTTTGAATATTATTATCTGAATAATGAAAAAAACTATATGCATATTTATATAGAAACTACTAAGACTCTTATTCTAATTAGAACTATAATTTGAATTTTAAAATTTTCACTTCACTAGAACTAAGACTCTTGATAAATAAAAATAGACAAAGACTTTGTACATCTCTTAACAAAAGACATAATCCTAATAAAAGTAGGTAATCTAATTATAAGTACTCATGAGTAAAAATAATTTCTTATGAATCTTAGATTATCAATTTCTTTTTGTTTTAAAATAATTATTTTTTTATTTTTCTTTAAATTAAAGATTTAAGGACTATTCAGATATTTATCTATATTACTTTAAAAAAAGTTAAAAAATAAAATACAATTTTTTGTAATAAAATAATTAATCAAAATAATTAAATAATAATAAGATTAAAATAAAAAATATTCATCTATTTTAAAAAATAAAAATAAAAATTAATTTAAAATAAATTTAAAATCAAATAATATCAATATTTTGGTAAAAAAAAAATAATTCAAATAATTCTTCCAAATCTGCTTCTCTTTCCTCGTCACTTTCAACCTTGGATTTAATTAACTTCTGATAAGACACAGGAAAACTTTGTGTTGTTGTTAGGAAAAAAAGGGATAGGAACATAATTAATTTATTTATATATAAATTTTATACTTTATATTTATATAAAATTTTATTTATTTTTATAATTAAAATTTATTTATATTTATTAATAATGGTTATCTTTTTATTTAAAAAATATAATAAATTTTAGCAACTAAAAATAAAAAAATTAAAAATTAAAATTTTATATAAATTTTATGTATAAATATATATTTATTTATTAATAATCTGTTGGTTTGAATAGAACGAGTTTGATTTTTTTCGAATAAAATTTTAAGTTTGAATATTGTGAATAGAAAAATATGTCTAAAAGAATTTTTTTCTAATAAAATTTGATATAATTTAATTTTAAATTTATCAAAATTTAATGTGTTATCAGATACAAATAAAAAAAATATTTTTATTATTTAAATTATCGTCATCCAGTTATTTAGGTTGCTTGTTGATTGATGATTAAATAAATACTTTGAATGTTCCTATTTCAAGTCTTTCGCCGCTGCTCGCTTTCTTTGTTTTTTATATAATCCTTGTGATGGACCCCTTTTTGGGACTTGTCTAGCTTTGCCACCTTAGCAGCCTAGGAGTATTAGGCCACTGTGTCATAGCTACTACGAAATTCCACTGAAGTTGTTTATAAGGGGAAGGGGTTGAACCTTGTTCTTCACTTTCCTGCTTTATCATTTCATTATTAGAGCCCGTAAATATATTTTCCTCTCTCTCTGTCTTGTACAAACACAATGACAGCAGCATCTATGGATGGATTTAATAAGAGCATGTGTCCTGCTGAAGATGATAGTGAGCTGAGGAGAGGGCCATGGACTCTCGAGGAGGATACCATGCTAATTCATTACATTGCTCGACATGGTGAAGGTCGTTGGAATATGCTAGCAAAATGTGCAGGTAGTAATTAATAGGTTGATTCATTTCAGAACTCTTTGTTTTATGCATGTCCCTTGTTAATCCATCTTGCTTAAATTTTCAGGACTGAAGAGAACTGGTAAGAGTTGCAGACTGAGATGGCTGAATTACTTAAAACCAGATATTAAGCGAGGAAACCTTACTCCACAAGAACAGCTCTTGATCCTTGAACTCCATTCCAAGTGGGGTAACAGGTAATATTAACAAGAAGTTATTGTTAATGTGAACAGAAACGTCAAAGTTTTAGAATTTATCAAGGATCTGACAATCTTTGGGAATTTCTTGGTCCTAGATGGTCCAGGATTGCACAACAACTTCCAGGAAGAACAGATAATGAAATCAAGAATTACTGGAGGACAAGGGTGCAAAAACAGGCTCGGCAACTTAATATTGAGTCCAACAGCAAGAATTTCCTGGATACTCTTAGATATTTCTGGATGCCAACGTTGCTGCAGAAAGTGGAGCAGAATTCTTCTTCTTCTTCTTCTGCTTCTTCTTCAGCCCCCCAAAGCTCTGGTCCTCCTAAATTTGAATGTTACACAGTCCCTTCAGTCTCCCCTGCATCCTCCTCACTTGAAAATTCAAATCAACTCATTGAGAACTCAAGTTTAGTCACTAGCCACCAAAGCATAATCAATTATCCTACAGATTTTATCAACATCTCAGACACTGTTGTTCCTCAGCACATGACAAGTCCAAATGTATTTGTCAATACTAATACTGTCTGCAACAATCAAGTACTCCTGAATGACAGTTATAACATGGACATGGAGGGATTGGTCAGTATAGGATCCACATCATATGACAGCTCACTATCAGAATACCAGATGGTGGATGATAATTGGGGCTGCAATGACATGTCAGACACTTTATGGAACAACATGGATGACATATGGCAGCTTAGGGAGATAGGGGGCTAGCACATGGTTGCTGAGCTACTACTGTTGCCCGTTTCGTTCAAAGGGTCCACCCCTGACTAAAGGATATCAAAACGGTCCAAATTAGACTGAATTATTGTTTTAAAGGTTGTGCAATGGTCCATCACCAAAAAATGAAAGTGATTTGGAGAGTTTTGATTAGTTCTATGTTTGCCCTTCGCCGTTGGAAAGGTTTTTTTTTTTTTGAACAGTAGTCGTTGGAAAGTAGTGCTATTCATTAAGACCATCCTTTTGTAATTGGTTGTTATAGATGAATTTTTCTACTTAGCAAATCATATCATATCAATTTCTTCTTGGAAAATCCAATGGCAAGGAAGAGGATAGGAATGTGTAGTCAAATTCAAGAAAATGAGCCCATCCTCTATAGATGGGTAACCAACCAAAAAAATTCAAGAAAATGATGTTTTAATAAATGATCTATGCTCGTTCAAAATTTGGAGTCACATCTTGTTTTTATCTCTTTATAGACAATTCTATGCTAGAAAATGAACTAATTGCTGATTTTGGAAATTTCAAGCTACCACTTAACTAAGCTTAAATTCCAATAATCCCTAGTTTAGAAGAAATTTCAAAACTAAATCCACCGTGCGTCTAAAGTTTGTCAATCTAAGGTTTGCTCTGTCTCTTAATCAAAGATCTTGTATGAATGCAAAATCTCATTTGTTGGCCAAAAAGATCTAGGATACCTTGACCACAACATGTGGGCACAACAGTGATATCATATTTAAATCCTAGCTTGATTAGCGCCAAAATATGTTGAATATCTATACATAGAGCTATAGGAGGAATATATTGCGTCATTTGTAAGATATAGCCTTTGAAATCGATGTGACTTTTGAGTTCTGAGGAAGACTTGAACATGCATGTGTTTCATGGACCTAACAGCTTAGTTTTTCAGTTTTTCCAGCATAAATGATGGAGGAACAATAGCATGCTTTAGGTCGGTAACCATACTAGAAGAAGAAATCTAGCCAAGGATCTAGAAAATAAAGTGAAAGGCATACAGGTATAAAATTAAGTTTACTATTTGTTCACGTGGCGTATCATATCTTTATTCTGGAGATGAAGAAGATGATGAAATCTAAGATACTGCTTCACAAGGGGCGCATCATATTCTGATACGTGTGTAAAGTCCCCCTATTACATGATCTGCTTTGTTAAAAAAGAACGGATTCTTCATGTCATGTGACGCTAAGAAGGAAAATGGTTTCGAGTTTCAGATACCCAATGCCCTTCTTTTCTTGTTTCAGTCAATCAAGAAAGGCTTAATTTTCATATTGTCACTTCGCAAGCGTGAAGAGACTAAACTCTCAAAAGATGAGAGAGATGGGGTCCTCCCTGTATTCGCTGTCATGGCTTCATTCTTCTCTTATTGGTGCCTGGACTTTGAACTCTAACACGTGGGCAAAGGTTTTCAAAGCTCTGATGCATGAACTGAATTGCTTTCTATGGTGGTAGGTCCGGTGAAGTGAAAAAGAGTGCAAACTACTTCACAACATTGTACCAGAACCGTTTGACTGATAAGAAGAAAATGCCGCGGATGCCATATGGCTTATATCATTTTATTTGTGCCGCATGCGTCGTACATATTATAAGATACATTGTTTGGACTGAGGGTGTCCTGCTAATGCACAGCTATTAAATACGCCCTCAATTGACAACTTGAGTCCAAGAGACACACTCGAGGCTCCCCTGCCATCCATTTTGACCCAGCAAAACAGGGAGGAGAGAGAGAGAGAGAGAGAGAGAGGAACAATTCTGTTTAGTTGAGAAGAATTCAGGGTCGGTGCTACAAATATAAAAAGTACTCCAAAGTGATTTAAGGTGGAGCACGCTAACTTCACTGTTGATAAGAATAAAGGAGCTGAAAAAAGATGATTTGATTTGATGAAACCCTTATTCTGTGTAAAGGCCGCCAGTCAGTCAGTCAGACACAAACTGCTAACAATATGTGGGAATATGAATTTCACAGGCAAAAATCACCAATTAATCCTGAACTTGCTAAATTTGAGCTTACAGTTTTCCTTGAAGAATAAGTGTGTGACTCTTAAGCCCCTTATCTCCACGAATTTGAAGGGTTGTAACCAAATTAATGGTTTAATTTTACGTCATTCACGTGCTCATTACCATTCAGTCCAAAATTGCCATGTCTTGCCATTGCCTATTTTTTTGAAAAAAAATTGCCATATCTTGGACCAACGTAACCAAAATTTTCCATCTTGATGCCACGTTTTCACCCCCAAAAAAACAATAATAATGAATAAATAAAACACAAAAGAATCCCAGCTTTCCACTTTAAAAATGTGGGTCGCACTCGTTTCATGAAATTAATGAAATTAATCTAAACAATCTAATTACAACCCCTATACTGTTTTATAACTTTATTTAGATTTAAGCTTGAGAAATTGAAAAAATCAAAATCTCTTGATATTTAAAATATTAAATATTTAATAATAATTATATTAAATTTAATAAATTAAAATTTATATTATATTTTATATATTTAATAATTATAATTAAATATTTTGATATTTTAATATCAAATTATTTTATTTATTTATTTTTTATCAGGATATCAAGAGGTTGGGAAACCCAGCCCAAGGAAAAAAGAAGGGAATGACCTCGAACTAAAGGCTTATGCATATTCTTATGCATATCCTTATGCGGGAGCTATCAATTGCTCTACTCAAGAGTTCTCAAAGTATTTTAATTTTTTTTTATATTTAAACGTTAAAAATTTATCTGCCAATCAAATCAACACAATTAACTTTATTAAATTTAAAAAAAAAAACATTAAACAACAAAAAAATGGACTTTTCCCTGTTCTCGTCGTCGAAGAACCCAAGTAAATAACAAAGAATTCCACCAATAAAAAAAAAAGAAGAAAAGATTAGGAACAAAGAAGGAACACGTCGTAGTGAGATGGATTTGTACTACAGCCAATCCCATTGCATTACCCAAAGCCAAAAGAAATCTCAACATACCCCAAAACAGAACCCAATTTGAAAAACCTGGGAATGAACCTTCTAATTAAAATCTCAATGTTCCTCTCTCTAAGTTTTTCAATCGCTGTAAAAATAAATTTTTCTTGAAATGTTAAGTTTTCCCCCCATCTAAACCAATCCAAACCATAATAAAGTCAAAATTCCTAAATTAAATTCAACAAGACAAACCTAGATTAAAAAAAAAAAAAAAACCTCATGACTAACCCAGATCTGAAACAACTACTACAAACAACAAAAAATTAGAAAAAAAGTGTTTCGAACAAATTATGAAAGGTAATGGGAAGATTTAATATCACTTTTGGAGAACCCACGAATTCCCTTCGGAGAACCCAAATCGGTTTCTCTCACCCAAAGAGGCCAAATCCGAGTTCTCTTGGTGTAAGTATATCTACGAGGTCATTGATCTCGAACGTACCGAAACAAGCCGTTAGGACTGGTCATTACCTCATACTAAATATGAGTGAGGTCAAATGACTCAAAAATTAAAGTTAAAGACACTCTGTTTTTAGTTGCACAGTAATTATAGTGAGATTGTACCTAATTAGTCTCTTTCTTTTTTAAGATGTGTTTTTTTTTAACAATTTGTCAAGGGATGGGTTTGAACCCGCCTAAAAGAGGGAAAATGCACCTTATGGTAGTAGAGTGCCACTTAACCCAAAAGGTCAACTACTTCTTTTGTAAGATGTTTATTTTGTTAATCACATCATATTTTAATTATTTTGTCAAAAAAATTATATAAATACCTTCTTAAAATTTATAAATACCTTAAAGATCTCATGCTACATATACTTAAAACCAACTCAAAATTTTTTTTTTTTTTTTTTTAAATACCTTAAAGATCTCATGCTACATATACTTAAAACCAACTCAAAATTTTTTTTTTTTTTTATTTCTCTGGAATAGATCATACTAATTTAAATATCAACGCCTATCCCAAAATTCAATCTCGAACTTTGCAAGTCAATCAACTCAAAAGATTAAGACTACAAAAGGATTGAAGATTTTTTACAATTATACTTGGGTTCTACAAGAGAACCCAGATCAGGTTCTCAACGCCAAGACTTGATGAGTTCTCTTACCCCTAAAAAGGAAAAATAAAGATGAAGATGAGAACGAGGAAGAGAAGCAGAGAGACGACCAAAACTGAAAGTGAGAGGAGAAGAATAGAAGAAGAAGGTGATAAAATTGTAATTTCATAAGTTAAGATTTAAAATTTATTAGATTTAATTAACGACCTATTTGTCTAAATAGAAAAAACTTGATTTATCTTAAATAAAATCTTAAATTTGAGTTTTGTAAATAAAAAAATAAATGCTTAAAGAGTTTTCCGCTCATAAAATTTGATTTAACTTGACTTGACTTCAAATTAACTAGAATTCAATATAAGTTTCAAATACCGAGAATTAGAATAAAAAGTGATGTTAAGTATTTTTTCCTCTCGCCACCGTTGCTAGGGTTTTCTTTCTCCGGCGGGTAAGCATCTCATCTAGGTGTTTCACCTTGTTTTAAGGGGCCCTTCCTCTCTGTTTCTTGCTTTTGTCTCAATTCCCGATTCCCTTCATGGTTCCGAATCACATATTGGCTTGGAATTGTCGAGGCCTCAGTTAGGACTCTGCGATTTCAAATTTAAAGAAGCTTTGTTTCCTGCACAAGCTTAGTATCATCTTCCTTTCCGAAACAAAGCGATCCACTACTAAGATGAATCTAATTGCATAGATCTAGGGTTTGAACACTGTTTTGCTGTTGATTGGGTTGGTAGGGGGTGGGAATGGCTTTTCTTTGGACAAATGATTTTCAATTGCAACAATCCTCTGTTTCACAGTCCCCTATAGTTGTTGAAATTGTTGATTCAGGTGGTCATCACTAGAGGTTAATTGGGTTTTTGACCAAAAACAAAAGGAAAGGGATGTTGTTAGTAAAGCTGGTGGTGTTCTGCAAGAGAAGAATGATATTCAAATTGGTAAAAGGGCTTTCATTCCCTTAATGAATTTCAACAGCAAGGGATTGGAAGGATTGGGAAAGATGGGACCATGGTTGGGAGCACATAGAGATAAGTGGGGTGCTTTGTGTTTGTATGGAGGAGGACCACGCCCTCTTGTTGATTATTCTTAAGAATAGATAGGACGGCAACTTGCAGGTTGAGGACTATTTGTTGTTGAAATTCATTACTCTCCCCATGAAGTTGGTTGAATAAATGAGAATGTCTAGTAGCTTCTGATACTCATAGTGACTCTTCTTTCTACATTAGTAGTCCTATTTAGCTTATACAGCAATTATGATAG